GGACTGGCTCCAGGGCTTATCCTCAAGGCCCAGAGAGGCAATCCTTCTCACTATCCCTGGACCTTGCCACCCAAGCTGGTATCAAGGACATGGCTGCATGTCTTGTTTGCCATCTCTCCCGGGTAACAGAATTAGTAGCATCACACTCTACCCATGCTCATGACATGTAGAATGAACATCCCTGGCTGCTATAAGCAAAGACCTCTAGAGTAAAGTGTAATGTAGCTCTTCCCCCAAAGTTCAGAACCATGGTGTGGCTGCCACGCATTACCCCAAGGGACCTCTTGCAAGCTCAGGGTACAGACAGCTGCTTTCCACTTCACAGGTAAGACTCTGAAAGGTTATATAACGGGCCAGAGAGATGTCTCATCAGGTAAAGGTGACTGCCACCAAACCTGATGATCAGAGTTTGATCCCTAGAACCCATGTAGTAGGAGAACAGCCCACAAGTTATCCTCTGACCCTAGCCCTAACCCTAACCACACTAACCCTCACAGGTGCTGTGGCATGCACACATCCACATATGGACACACAATAAAACTAAGAATATGTAACTCCCCTTTTAAAGAAAGAACACTTAGGTGGCTGGATCACACAGTTCAGATGTAGCAGTATGGTGTAGGAGGTTCCAGTCTCTGAGCTTGCCTAGAAGCCTTCCTTTTCTTTCCTTCTGGCCTCTTACAATTTCTGAACCTCCCACTAAGTTTTCCTGATCCTGCTGGTCCACAGTCCATGCTAGAGGGTGAAAGCCAGTCCCACAGTCTTGGGCAGCCTGACCCTCTCTCCCTCTCTGAGCCTGGCACACAGGGGTGTGGAGGGGGAGCATGCCTAGTTCACAGAACTCACAGTACAATGAGTTCTCAGTACAGAGACGGGGCTGCAGCTACCACTCAATTAGCGGTATCTTCAGAATGGCAGCAATGTAGACCTGTCTGTCATTTTCTCTACCCTGTAGAATCCTTGAAGGATAGCTCCCGGGATCCTCTCCCTCAGTGTCCAGCTTGGGGGACCTGCACTCTCAAACATCCCAAAACACTGGATGGCATCCCAGAGGCTCCAAAGACCAGCAGGGCCTGGCCCTCCTCTGCATCCCTGGGAAGGAGACTGTGCTACTGGCGATCCCCAGCTCACAGCCCTTCCCAGCTCCAATAGAGGAACAAACACAAAGAGAGAATCTCTAAACATTTAGAAATCTCGGGAACCCTGTGCCCCCACACGGCACCATGGGGATTTATAAAGAACAAATCGTGCCTGACAAACTTGATAGCTTTCTTGATAGAATTACAAGACTGGCGGATGAAGGAAATGCAGGCAGGGTAATATATCTTGATTTTTAGCAAAGCATTTGATACAGAGCCTCGAGTAATCTTACAAAATTAATTCAAACAGACTTGGCCCTCAGCTCTTGTCAAGGGGTCTAAAGGCAGGAGGGGACATGTCCCAAGAGTCCTGAGTGGAGGAGGCATGGCCAGGGGCAAGGGCTGGAAGGCAAAGAGTCTGGGAGTGGGGGCAGGGCTACTCAGTCTGTGCCAGGCCACATCTTATCTAACATCTTCATTAATGATCCTGAGAGAGGGAGTAAACAGTCCGTTAATGAAATTTGCAGAAGATATTAAATTGTAAGGTGTTGTGAACACCAATGAGGACAGCAAAGTGGTCCAGAAAGACCCAAGGCAAGACCCAGATAGCTGGCAGGGACGGGTGGGGTGGGTGGAAGGCAGTTTCCAAGCTTCTTGGAGAGCTAGTGGGAAGGAGAGCAGCATCCCCTAAGCTGCTGTGCAGCTGGGGGAGGTCACAGTTAGCTGGGTTCTGGCCTGGCCGAGCAGGCAAACCCCAGGAATCTTATTTTTGGCATCTGTAAAATAGAAGAGCCAGCAGACAAGTTCGTTGCAGCTGGGATAGCTGGTAGGGATGGGTGGAAGGAGTTTAGAGAATTTGGGACAGAATTCCACCTTATAAGAGAGGGCGCTGCAAGCCATGAGCGTGCTAGAATGAAAAAGGATCTAGGGAGCAGACTCTGCTTGTGTGTCACTGGCAGCCTGAATCTTCCTAGGTCATGCTCCCCATACTGCTGGGGCTGGCACTGTCAGAATAAACCTCTCCTAGTCCTACCAGCTCCAAACCTAAGGACTGTCTTCCTAAGTCCTGATTCTCATAACCTGATGGACCAGGCTCCCCGGGATGGGAGGCAGGGGTGGGGATGGGGCTGGTAGGGACTGAACCTTTCTCTCTGCCATAGGACTCCTTTCTACCTAGTGCCAAAGAGCTCGGCAAGCAACCCTTCCCTAGGATGCTGAAGCAAATCCATCTGGTCTTAAAGGGTTTCTTCTCACAAGGTTCCTGTGCAGATAGAGTCAAGAAAAGCTAAGCTGTAAGGCACCAGGCTGAAAAAGCCTAAATAAATCTCTATGAGAAGAAACGGAGCACTGACTCCCAGCAAGGTGCCAGGGCTGTGGAGGATCACACTTCCCAAGTAGCCAGCCCAGGCAGGTGTCAGGCCACCAACTGGGACACAGGGGATAGAGCCAGGTGAACCCCTCCCCATTAGATAAGTAAACAGCACACTGTGGTGCTGTTGTGTATTCCACACTCAGGAACTTGACCTTCAGGGGCCTCTCAGGTAGGTATTGCTAAGGCCCTTAGTTTACAGAGAAAGAAACTGAGGCACTGAGAGGTCACCGGAAGCTTGGAAACCTAGCCAAAAGATCATGAAGTTGACAGTTGCCTGTCAGTAAGTGGCCTCAAGAAAGGATCCTAGCAGGTAGAATAGGGCAGCTCCTCCTCTAGGGTAGCCAAAGGCTTCTTTATCCATCTCTTTCCCAGCAAAGGGGCTGGTCCAGCTCCACCACACTTGTGGAGCCTGATTTTACTATATGTTTCCCTGCTTTCCCCCCAAATGCCTTGCTACACCAAGTCCTCTGAACAAGTCTGTTTCCATGGAAACCATACAGTGACTCAGGGCTTCGGGACCTTCTCAGAACTGGATTATGACTATCAAATGCTCCATCCTCACACACTTTCAGACTCCCAGTGTGCAAGGATGGGGCACAGCAGATGGGCAAGAGGGACCTGGGGGACACATGCCAGACCTCACTGAGAATCTGACACCCAGGGCTCCTTCAGACTCAGTGGAACAAAGATATATCCCTTCAGGGCAGCCTAGCTTACTCCCTGTATTAGCTAGCACGCTAGCTTCCTTTGGAGCTAGGGCCCTTGGGAGAGGGCACAGCGATCTATACCTTCCTGTGAGCAGAAGTGACATGGGGGCCAGGGTAGAGGGAAGCAGGATAACTTAGGATGCTCAAGAGGAAAATAACAACCCAAAGCTTCACAACCACTCAGCAGAGAGAAATCTGGGTTTAGAGTCCTGGAAAGGGGGAGCGAAGGTCTCTACATTGAGATGAGGAAACAAGGTGTTCAGTGAAAAGGGGTGTGATCTTAAAGCCCCAGCAGTATTGTAAGGATAATTAGCAATGGCTTCCTCTCATTTGCACACCCCTCCTCTCCCCACAGATACTGTGATCTGTGCTGGTCTTGAGCCACTCACCCACCAAGATCAGGGACAACAGCAAGCAATGAAAGTTTGCATGCCAGGCTCCTGCAGGGGCCCAAGACCCAAAGGTGTATCGACCTTTTCCTTTCCCCAGAAGCTCCCTAAAGCCCCAAGAGGGTGAGGAATAAAATAGGTTGGAAGCTTGATCTCTCCCTGGTGAATCCAGCTTGTGAGTCATGAAGGTAGAAACACTTTGTAAAAGAAACAGGGTCATCATGATGCCTAGAAGTGTGGCGGCTACTGGGGACTGGAGTCTGGGAACTGCCTGCCAGGTAAGGTCTCTTTGTGAGACAGCACAGTCGGGAAAAGTATCTCTCTGCCTGGTCTATGAGCTCCCTGTCTGTTTGCCTCTTATACCTACTGGTGGTATCTTTCACTTTCCCAAGTGGTTCCCTGCCAGACAGGAAGCTTGCCTCCTGCTGCCATCCTAGGTCCCTTCTGTCTCTAGGTTCCACAAGATGCTAGGCTGAATTCCCGTCCCTGAGTGGACATGCGCCTTCCTTGTCCCAGCCTCAACATGTCAGTGGTCAGCTATAACATCCTAGGCACCTGGATGTCTGGATCCCTTGGTACCCAGGAGTCTCTTGCTTAAACAGCTACGTCCATCAGGAAGCCAGAACTAGGAATGTAATCCTGAGAAAGGGTAGGCCCAGAGTAGGGAGAGGTGACATATTGAAGCCCCTGAAGTCAGGCCAAGGTGCCCCCCTAGCAGGACTATGAGGTCTTACCTACATAGCTTTGCCTTTTAACCTATGGATCCCAGCTAGGGTCACTGTCGATTGTTACTGTAAAGTAAAACACTGCATCCCTTTCTGGAACCTGAGAGGAGCTGACCAACCCTGCCCCCCCCCCCGCCTCCGCCCCTGTCTCCCCTCTTTCTACTCAGCGAAATGCTAGGGCTGTTTTGGCATGGGGGGGGGGGCTCTGCACCAGCACGCAGCCTCAGCCTCCTAAGAGCCCATCCCATCACAGCGTATGGGAGCAGATGCAAGATTCAGGCTAGAAACAAGAAGCTGGGACAGTGCTTTGCCTCGGGCTGTAAGCCTGGTTTGGAAAGTTAGAAGAGTCACAGGAACCTCAGGATCCCTGGCAGCCTTGACAGCCCCGAGTTGAGCTGTGAGATGGTGAACCCGGAGCAGACACCCGGAGTGCGTTCTGCAGCAGAAAGGAAGCCCGGGGCTCACGCTTATTCCAAGTTTGCTGCTCTCGTCAGATGGGGGCATGGAGGGACTGGGGAGATCGCCGCGCTCCGGAGCTACCAGCCCAGTCAGCCCCTCCCAGCACCCAGCCAGCACTCTGCGGACCCCGCCACCGCCACCGCCTCCGCGCACCGCCCAGAGACACCGGCCCTGAGCTAGGGGCGTCTCCCGCCGCGCCCGCGCCCCTCCCGGCTGCTGCGGTGCAGTCCGCTCCTGCCTGCCCCAGAGCCCGCGGGGCCGGGCCATACCTGGTGGCGGGCGCGCTGGGAGCCGCGGCTGCGCTCAGCGCCGGCTCCATCCTTGGTCTGGAGTCAGGCTCGTCGGGAGCCCGCGGGTGGCGGTGGCGGTGGCGGTGGCGGCATCCTCCTCCTCCCGCGCCTTGCTCCTCGGCCTCCCTCCTCCCGAGCCTCTTCCTCCGCCTCCGCGCGTCCCTCACGGGCCCCTCTCCATGGTCCGGGGGGGTTCTAGCCCAGGGTGGCTGGCCCAACACAGTGCCTTCTCACGGGCACAGAAAAGAGAGCGACCGCTGACCAGAGGGACGCAGGACCAGAGACCCGGACCCTGAGCACTGCAGCTCCAGGCTCCAGAGGACAGTAGCAACCGCGGAGGCCGGAGCCTCACGGAGTACCCTCCTCGCGTCACCGAGCCGAAAGCGGCGGCCGCTGCTTCATCACGGAGCTAGCGGGTGGCAGGCGCTGCGGTCCCGGCTCCACCCCCAGCGCAGCCCGCCCCCTCTCCGCCCGACCCCGTCAGCGCGCGCCCTCCCGCCCCCCAAGCAGTCCAGGCCTCAGCGCCAGAACACCCCCTCTAGCAGGGCTCCCGGGCCAACCCACCGGCGGGCCGGGGGCAGCCACGCCCACCCCGAGTTGAGGAGGCCAAGCAGCAGGAGCACTGGTACCTTTTGGCCTGGCCTCTTTCCCGCATCCCCACCAGGGAAAGGCACTGCTCTATCCATGCAACCCAAACCTCCAGATCTCCAAATCTGGCTACAGCCCCAACCTGACCCTGGGTCCCAATCCCTATCCTTTCTTCTGCCAGTGCAACCAGAACAGAGACTCCGGAACCCAGAACTGGAGTATATTCCATCATTTACCTCTGCCCTCCCTGGCTCTGCTTCCTTCCCCTCCAAGTAGAGAAATGTTTCACTTGCCCCTGAGACTGCCATCCCTTTTTGGCAGGAGCAAGGCTCAGCTGGTGGTTTTATGGGACACTGGAGTTCCAGGCCCTTCCTACTAGGCTACATCTGGCTTCCCTGGAGGAAACCAGACTGACTTTGAGCTGCACTCGTGGGAGCAGTAGAGCCGTGGGCTTCCATCTCTGCCATCACTGAGTTCTCCTGCAATCTCTCATTTCCAGTCTGTCCATCGATATCACTCCTGACATGGGTGCAGAGAACAACAGGGGTTTTGAAAAGGAGGCTATTCCCCTGAAGCTTCCCAGGGCAGAGAGGCCTTTGTGGTTTTGCTGTGTCACAGAGATATTAATGCTTACCCTCTAGGGCTACTATAAACACTAGATAGTAAAGTAGATGTAAAACACACTGCGCTTAACCATGTTAGTCACTGGTTGTGGAATAGATATTTACTTGCTTACTAAGAAAGGAATAATACAATGTCTTGGGTTCTCTAGGAGACCCCAACAGGCATATCTTCAGAAAAGCCTCCATATGGAACCAGCCAGCATGAAGGCCCTGCCCCAAAGGTCCCAGCAAGCCAAAGGGCCATCGTGGTTACAGTTGACAACTCCTAACTATAAACTCCTGTCCCCCCACAACCTCCTTAGAGAAGGCAACCAGCCTCACCTTTCCTGCCATCCCTGGAAGCAGGAGCTCCGGGGACTGCCCAGGAGCTCTGATGGGTTTGCTCCATTGCAGCCAGGGCTCAGCCCCAACATTCAGTCACCTACTCACCCCAATGGTAGGTGGTTGTGTTTTTGAAATGCTCACAGAGAAGGAGCTGAGCTTGTAGGAGCACTCCAGTCTTCAGATCCCCTCCCATTTCTCACAGAAAACCTGGCTCCCATCACCATGGATGAACCAGAAGCTTCTCTTTCACCCAAGTTAATCCCTGCCTAGACAAGAATAGCTAGGGCTTGGAGTCCTCTGTATCTCCCAGATCCCAGCAACTCATTTTTCAAACTCTGCTGTATTTCAGGTGGAGAGAAGGGTGTGGTTGAAATGTAAAGACAGAGTGAAATTGGGGAAAAAATATATTCAAACCCTAAAAACAGACAAAGACCCGGTCTCACGAGCACCACGGTTCTGTTTCCAGCCACCTCAAATCTTCCCACACAATGAAAATAAATGTTTCTTAGGTGCCTACTATGTGCAAGACACTATGGCAGTTACTGTCAGGGAGTGGGGCAGAGAGACAGAAGCAAAAGCTTTGTGCTCAGGAAGCTTGGCTCCTACACAGTGAAACAGCAAATAGTCACTGTGGGGCTGGAGAGTCGGCTCAGCCATTAAGAGCATTCTGCTCCTTACAGAGGACTCTTCAGTTCTCAGCACCCATGTCAGGCAGCTCATCTGTGACTCCAGCTCCAAGGGGATCTGACGCCCTCTTCATGTCTCCACTCCACATCATGTGCAAGATACATACACACATATCCATGCTTTAAAACAAATGTTTTATTGGGGGGGTACTTTAGAAAAATGGTCACTGAAAATGTGAATTTTTTTTAAGTGGCCTGGCAAGTCGCAGGAAGATAAAGCCTTGGAGGGTCTTATAGGAAGAGGAGGAAACTCCAGGAACTAGAGTTTGTGGGATGGGTAGGGTATACAAGGCTAAGGAAGAAACAGCAACCAGCCTGAGTCTTTGACAGTAGGTAAGGAGCTGCTTCTAACGGCTGGCTAACGCCTGGGCTCTCCCTGTGAGCCAGGCATTGGGCTGTTCAACTCCTGGAGAAAGGAGCCTGATGTGGTAGGAATTGCCATTCTCACTTTACAGATGAAACTGGGAGCCGAAGGAGTCATGTGTCTTGTCCAGGTTGCAGAACTAGTTAGATACACAGTAAGTAGCCAAGCAGGACCTCCAACTGGGCACCACACTAGGCCAGCCTGGCTTAAGGAATTAGTTAGCATGGGAGGTACAGGAGGCCAGGTGGGCTGAGTGTGGGACTTTTAGTAGCCCCCAGTCATATGCGCTTCCTTGAATAGAGCCCCTAGGTCTCTCAAGAATTCAAAATAAGTCATTTCCTCCTCTGCCCCAGCATTTAGGTCTTAGAGGCAATTGGAAATTTGTTAAGGGATTTGGGGCTTGGGATCCTGGCATTTTAATCTCTTTCAAGTGTCCATGTAGTGTCAGTCTGTGCCACCCACCTTGTTATTTCAGTCTGCTCTGGGAGATTGATGGCCCAGACTTTGATTTAAGATGTGTAGCAGAGTTCCTCCATTCCCTGTCTCTCCCCAGGATGTTGAGAAGGCTAGAAGCTTGCAGAGGCCAATTCCCAGCTGTCTCTAGACTCCAGACCCGAGAGCTTCAGCACCTGTAGAGAAGGTCCCAACCAGAACACCCCAGGCAAGAAAGGCAGGCCCACTAGGTAGGCCTACCCCACTTCTTCTACTGCTTAAGAAGGCCACTCAGTGAGAGTGCTGATGGACAAACTGGGGGGGGGGTCAAACAGGGCTAACGACTTACCAACACAGGTCATGTGGGCAGTCTCTTCCACTCAAGTCTACAGCTTCCTGAGAGAAAGGTCTCTTATACTTTCCTACTTCTGCATCTGCCCTGCTTCAGATGAGTTCCTTTCCAAAAAGAAAGTGATAGGAATATCTTCATGGTTGAAATGAGACAAGTATTTGAAACCTTACCTGTGAATGGACATCTGCTAGACACTGAGAATTACAGTAAGTTGTTCCCTGTGCTTCTCTGAGACCAAGGGCTGCCAGACCGGGTGAATTCATAGCTTCAATGGGCCATGCTGTTGAAAAGGAAAAGGAAAACCTTTTCCTGACCCTGCAGGTCCTCTAGCTGAGGCCCTTTGAGAGCTGCCCTCTCTGCTTTATGCTGTGAATTCCTCAGAGGGACACTGTGCTATCCCCAGACCAGCCAGTCACCAACCATCACTACTAGCCATCTGTTGTGTTCTTTGCTCTTGTAGAGGAGGCTTCAAGGATCTCCCTTCTTCCAAGGCCAGCACCCTGGAGAAAGCAAGAGCACCATCTTCCCTAGTACCTTGTGGCCCAAAGCAACACTGCTTCATTAGTTTCCAGGAACTTCCTGATAAACAGCTTGTCCTGCTGGCAGCTCCAACCCCTAACCTCAAATCCAGGCTGATAGCCCTGGACAAAAGTCCTTCTCCCTCTTGACTGTCTCACTCCTTCAAGCCACTCCAACAGAAAATCCCCTCCTTCCCAGTTACAGAATCAAATCCCCCAGGGAGAAGAGAGGAAGCCACAAATCCTGGAAGGGAGGGAACAGAGAAACTCAAGGGTTTGCTCTGGTCAGGAGCCAGACCAGACTTCAACTGCTATCTTGTGGCACAGCAGCTCCCAAGCACCACACCACCCCCAGAAGCCCTTGGTCTCCTTGGATCTGATATGGACAGGGAGGTAGAATGATTCACTCTGTGGATTGGAACAGAGGGGGCAGGCTCCAGGCTCCCTATCCTCTAGGCTTTGTCTTCCTTCCTTTCACCTCACGTGGTCCAGCAAACACTGCCAAGGTAAGTGGTATCCAAGTCCCTAAGTTCCCAAAAGGAAAGAGAGGTCAAAGAAGGCCAAATGTCTACTTCCTCCTGAGGAAGAAGCTTTTCCCAACTGATTCTGTTGGCTCTTGCCACACTCAGCCCTGTGGCCAAAGTGAAGACTCTGGGCCTAGCTGGGGGCATCTGTGCTCTTGGGACCCAGGGCTTCCTAGGGGCTCCTCCACTACCTTTCTCTACAGTGGGAGTGGAATGGTGGCCTCGGGCCTGGATCCAGCTTATTTAAGCATACCACCATCACTATCATCATCATCATCACCACCATCGCCACCATCATCATCACCATCACCACAACAACCACCATAACCACCACCACCACATCCACCATAATCACCACCACCATACATCTGGCACCAGAGCCAGATCCTAGACACTGGCTGCAGAGCCTTGACCAGGCAAACACTCTAAGCCAAGACAGCAAGGTCTGCAACCCTGGGACCCTGCCACTGACCAAGAAAGAAGATACTGTGAGCATTTCACAGGCCCTGGGGTTGAGGAGGTAATAAAAGTTGGGGTCAGAGAGGAAGGTCCAACATTCAGGCCTGGAGCAGCATCAAGGGAGTCATGAGTCTGACCCAGAAGCAGCATCAGAGGGAGGCTCCAGCCTCAGGCCCAAGATCAAGGAGTGATCTCCATGTGAGAAAACATCAACAGTTTCCAGCAATAACTTCCAGACACTATCTCAAGAAGAGCACCTGTGTCCCAGTCAGCACCCACTGCCATTTCTCTTTTGGAGATGCCCCACTACTGCATTGACCACTGGACCCTCAGCCCCACCTATACCTTCAACGGGAGGCATGTCCACCAGAGCTGTAGCC